ATAGGTTGTTCTGTAAACGAAGAAAAATTTAAATGATTTATGGTAATTGTTCTGGCCAAGACTTTCAGAAGCTGTAGATAAAACGTTTATATTAACATTCTTCGAATTTCTATTAAAAAGACTATTGTGATAATTACATTACGACAATACTGTTATTATTTTTAAATAATAATAATAATAATAATGATTATAATATAAATGATGAAAAAAGATAGTATGATTGTTACGATGACAATTGTAAGTTATATTTTCGTTAATATTATTTGTGTCGCAGTGAATTAAATTCAAACTCCTGTACTTTACACAGGTAGTTTAATGTAATAATTTAACAATCATCTTTAATCTTTGAATTGCTTAAGTAGTAACTACTTCTTAACATTTGAATCTATCACATCCGTATGGACCTATATTTAAAAATTCAATCTCCAAAACAACTGTTTTTCCTGATAATTTTTTTTCCCCGAACTGTATTACATCCTAGAAATGGTTGAATATTCTGTTCATTTAAAAAACTTTATCACTGTATCTATAACTTTTCTTTTTCTGTCATTAACAATAAAATTCAGCTTATTGAGTTGCTAAATTTTGCCGTCACGGTGTACTTACCAATTACTTTTCCGAAATGTACTAAAATTTTTTTCGTCATCGAATTAAACTACTTTATAATTCGAAAAAAATATACTTCGATAATTAAAAAATTAGTTAAAAGTTTTGCGACACACATGAAGTATATGTATTTGCGCAATCCTTTGAATTTCCTCTACATTTTGAACCAAATTGATTTCTTTTCGTAAGTCATCCACCAACCATAGCTGTCTGACTATAAGCCTGTTAATTTTGAAGTAAAATTTTAGACTACTATAATAAAGTTATTTAAAACATCTTTTACTTGATTTTTTGTATAGTATTTTTGTCCACCCTTGCTGGTTGCCCTTGAGATTCAGCTGAGTGATTTATTGCTATTATGTTCCGGAGAAAAATCTCTGTTTAGCAGAATAAGTGATGCTTGGCAATATTTTGAATAGTATCGGAATCCAAATACTGACTATACGTGATTCAATCAACAGTTTTTTCCCAAGCGTAGTGCAATGAATTTTCTGACTCGTAATAGTCTCTTGCACTACTGGTCTCCGAAATTATTGAGATCTCCTTGAAAATGAACGCTGACAGAGTTTATATAGTACGAATAATTAACGACTTCGTTATCAGAACCCGTTACAATGTAAAAAGCTTTTACAACATAGTGAATTATTATCGGTAGGCTCTATTGTTTTCAGTAAATAGCATTGTATAATGATCATTCTTGTAACAAAAATGACGTTGTATTAACTATTTAATTATATTTCATATACTGTTAAGCTACTTTCTTTACAAGTATATTATTATTATTATTATTATAGTTTATTAATATAAGTAGTTGTTTATAGCGCACATTATACAATACTTATCTATGTGTTACTATGCATTTGTTGTATCCATCCGTTTAATGTTTAACATCCATTTGTTTTATAATTTTTAAAATCTAAATAATATGTCCTCATATTATATTGTACATAATAATTCTTGGACTCAATTTCGATCTCAGCAGAATTATTTGATTACTAAATTTTTATAACTGCTGAAAAAACAATTTCAATAAAAATTTTCTAGTTCTTAAGTACGACACTTCTACATGAATAAATAAATGCTTTAGATATTACACAAAATGAAAGTGTTTCATAAGTGTACCATAATATATCTGATGCTATAAATAAATAATTAAAAGTATTTTTACCAAAGTTATGTTCTGTTGAGCTTATAAATAGTGGGCAGTTTTTATTTCACACGATGACTTGAAAGTATCAGATCGGAAGTATTTTATTTAGAACGAAGGAAATCAACTTTAACTGTAGAGCTTACGAATAGATAAATTTGAAAATTCTGGAGGGGGAGAGCGATAATTAGAAATTATACTTTTAGTGGTGCGTGGTAAAAGTCACGTACATCCAACTTTTTCTGATGGCTTTATAATCATCGTGTGTATGAAATTGGAATCTTAGATGCGATACCTGCCGTTAATAGATTAATACAACGCACACTACTCCTTTGCGTGATATGTACGACAAATAGGAAAGCTAGGGGCTCGCTGTAACAATTAATAAAAATAATAATTTGTCATCTCTTTGCTGATTTATTATCAAAAAACCAGCTCAAAACAGCTCCCCTACGTCAGTATTTTACCAAAAAGCAAAAATATTAAATTTATTTTTTAAATCTTTATACAAAACATTTGAAAAAATTCTACAGTGAAATATATCATAAATCTGATGCAAAGTTTGCGAAGTCGAATCTTAAATAGGTTTTCAGATGGTAAAAATTGTCCTAAGAAATTCTTGGAACTAGCCTTATAACATTATGGACTTAACAGTATAAAATTAAGTTGATTAATATAATATCTTTGTTGAAGACTACTAAACTTAATTAAACTTTCAAAACCTATACAAAATTAAAGTTTTTAAAGTAACTAATTGTTCACGTATAATTATAAATTTTAGAAAATTCCTTTTTACCTAATTCAACAAAATTTAACTGTAAATACACATCTAGTCACTATATTCGCCTGACAGAAGAATTAATGAAGATTGTATGGATTCATGTGAGTGGATAATATTATGGATTGGTTGTTAAAAAGCGAACGTTTTTAAGATTTGATGAAAAAAAAAACTGAAATAAATAGAGGCAAAATAAAAGAAAGAAAGAAAGAAAGGAAAAGATAAGCCACTGAATTAACGCTGGTTTTTTCATTAAAATATGAACTTTTAAAAGAAAAGAATTCTTTTTATTTTACTAAGAAAAGCTGTATCGAAAACACATTTTAAAATTCTAATAACTTCTATTTAGTAAGCATAATTAGAAAATAATCGCTAGTCATAAATATAGTTTTAAATTGTAGACGTGAGTGATATTCTGCAATGCCGAAATAATCTTCGCTTTATCATACAAATGATAATATCTGATTCGGTTGATGACCTAAGCAGCGTCAGCTTTGCCTACGTCATGCAGCTTATTTCTACACATATACCATGATATTATAAAGGATAGCCATCTAAAGATCTTTGAGTCTCAAAAATTAAATGCAAAAATAAAATAATTATCATAAATGAAGCTCCCAGTATTGTGCGAGCATTTCTCACACGTTGCGATGAGACCAAAATAGTTGGTCGTTCAAGAATTAAACTAGTAAAAAATAGTAGCGGATTTCCTGATTCCTTTAGCAAATGTTGGCAACAGAAACTATTTAATGTGACGAGTAATATATAATGAGTAATTAAGTCATAAATCAAATAAACGCTTAATCATAAACATTCAGTGAGTGATAAAATATTACTACAATTATAATAGAGCACTCGTTTACTCAAAATATTAAAACTTTTTTTTAAAGGAATCATTGAGGCAATAATAAAAATTTCGAAACCAGCATTTCTTTAAAGTTATTGTTATACTTACGTTGTAATTAATCTAAATAAATAAATTAAATTTTTCAATTAATACGTTTATTTAATTAAGATTTATAAATCTAATTATTTAATAATTTAGTTAAACGTATATATCATCAATCACTTATAAATAAATTTTTTTTTTAACTTGATGTTAAACTACAACTGTTGGTTATCTTGCAGTTAAATATGACTTATCAACTATACATACAAGACATCATATAGTTCGACAAAGTGTTATCGTATTTCTTGTCTTTTTCTTATAAAAAACTTCAAGTTTTTAAATTATGTTTCAAAATTTTTTTAAATGATTTAATCTTTAAATTTTGCTTAATTTTAATAGTTACACATTGAAACTTTTCTTTACAACTGTTTTTGTACATGTATTAGTTTAAAAAAATGTGTATACATGAACTGCTACTTATTAATTTTTTCCATGATCAAAACATATTTTCCAACGTTGTTTAATCATAATTCTTTGAGAATTTTTTTTTTTTTTAATAAGTGAGAAAACTTGATACAATGGTTGTTGAAACCAATTGGTACACATTATAGTATTAATCTTCTGTAGTGAAATTTCATTAGAAAAATTATTTTGGATACAACATCTCGTTGACTGATTCACCGATCTCTTTCAGCTGTATTATTCAATAACAACATATCATTAAGATTTAAAAGCCAAAGATGTAGGTAAAGTAATAAAAAAACCAAAAATCATCTCTTGTAAACTTTAAAGAAACTGTTTTACATATTGAGTAACTTACTTGCACAAAAGTCCAACCTTCAACATTGTATTGTACTACATTATTATATATTATGAACTAAGCTCACGCATTAATAAATATGTATACAAGTAATGGAAGTACTTAAACAAAGAAATAAAAACTAAAATAATTGCAAGAGTGAGTCTGTAGTATTTGTACATTAGACCATCAATTATTATCCTAACAACATAACAAAAATAATAAAATATAGTACTTTATTTTAAATCACAACTTTTTAATAATGATTGTCGCATTTTTTTTATTTTTTGCGTGGTGAATTGAACTAAGTCCAATAGATTGTTTGGAGAGATTTATGAATAAATAATTGCATTGAATTGCAGAAAAAGTTAATATAGAACGAGTTTAATATATAAGAATTAACATAAATAAAAATATAGGACTTGTGCATTTTTTTGAAAAAATAATTGGACCGGAATTTCCGTTTTGTAGTAAATAAGATTAAAAAACAACACGTCATTTTTAATTGTTCCTTTTGTACTCTACTTTGTTGCACAATTCAAGGCGAAATTTGGAAAAAAATAAAGGTTTTACGCGGAAATGTAATTAATTAATTTACTGAATAACTTCTGAAATAAAAGTTATTAAAAGAAAATTTCAGAAAAATTGGTCATAACAAAAAAATTGCACTTTCTAGAAAAATAAGCGAAGTTTTCAAGAGAATTTTTATGAGATTTTCCATGTCCCAATAACTCTTTTAAGCTCTTACATTGTGTACGTCTATATTTACTCCCCAGGGCATGCTTGGCTAGCTCAGTCGGTAGAGCATGAGACTCTTAATCTCAGGGTCGTGGGTTCGAGCCCCACGTCGAGCGATCTTTGTCTTTTTGTGATATAATTGTGCAGATGTTTATATATTTTATTTTTTAAGTAAACACTAAAAGGGATAACCTTTTTTTTGACGCAACCAAGAAACTCTGTGTATTCTTTTTGTTTTGTTAATTGAAGTTAAAAAATTGTTAAAGTTCTTATAAATTATAAATTTGGCCTTAACTTTTTTATCTACATCTTGAACTCTGTGTTAAAATAGTTTCCTTAACTAATAAAAATTTTTTATGACCGAATTTTAGAAAACTTTCTTTTGAAAAAAGTATTGATGGTTTGATCATTATGTTTTTATATTTTTCCCATTTAGTAGTACGTCTAATTTTATCTAGTCAAATAAATACTTTGTATAATGTACCAAGGTGTCTTTGATTCGTAAAACTATCATTTAATTTTTACATTTTATTTATTATCTAAAATAAGAATAATGCAATGAATCGTTGTTCTAATAACGTTTTGTAAAAACAAAGAATTATTGTAGTTATGATTAACAAAACATTTATTTTTACAGCCTACAAATGTAATTTGAATCAGTACCACACGATCACAGAATAAAGCAGTCGTATAGTAGCCAACAAAAAACTTTATTCAAAATTATTCTCCTTTTTAAGGTAGAAAATCCATAGTCACTAATAAATCAGAATTTTCTTGAATTTGAAGTATGTTATACATAAAGTTTATTTACGTTACAGAAAATTTTTTAAAGGTAATGTATCGGTGCTAGATTTTAAGATATTTGAGTTCAAATTATATTTTTAAACATGAGTTGTAAATAAATAAGGTATAGCAATAACAGCTTTAAAGACATACGTAGCAGATGAAATAAAAATCAGTTTATTGATTAATATTTTTCCCGTTACAAAAGCATACGGCAACAACCTGCAAGGCTGTCACAATACGGTAAATGACGCACTTCACTCGCTTAATTAACTCGGTCCACGGATTTTCTACCTTAAATAGGATGTTGTTGATCGCAACAAAGTTTCATTGGAAACACTCCTCTATTTTGACACATCTCATCAAAATATCTGTACAACAAATAATGCAGGTATATAACATACAGATGTCAATCGCCTTGTTTTGTGGGGGCATTTTCCAAGAACGAAAAACTTGAGTGTCTGACTGTCAAAACTGTGTTCGGCAAACAAAAATTACAGTGATTTTATTTCATTTAGATGGCAATTTCCAAATCACATGCGTGCAGGTTCACTGGAGTAAGTAGCATCTAAAAATCCATAACCGTTTACAAAACACAAGCAAATTCTATCGTGTTTATTCGAACAAATAGCTATGCAAGTCAGTGGCAGAGAAGCGAAAATTCACTCGAATTTGCCAACACGAATTAGGATAAAATTACAACAAAGCCGCTCACGACGAGGACGTGCAGAGCGAGAAGGATAAAAAAGAGCTCTTTGTAAATGCGATATTCCCATGAGGCCGAAAGAAAGGGGGCACGCTGTAATTTTTCATTTCATTCGGAGGGAGAGAGAGAAAACAATTTGTAAGCCTCCTTGTATTGCGCGCTAGCGAGAGACAAATATCGCGAGCATTCCACGACGACGAAAAGAAAGAACAAAAAAAAAAAAAAAAAAAAAAAAAAAAAAAAAAAAAAAAAAAAAAAAAAAAAGAAACGACAACGACGAGAGGATCGTTCTCCACGATCTCGTGGCTGATGCAGCTTATTTCTACACATATACCATGATATTATAAAGGATAGCCATCTAAAGATCTTTGAGTCTCAAAAATTAAATGCAAAAATAAAATAATTATCATAAATGAAGCTCCCAGTATTGTGCGAGCATTTCTCACACGTTGCGATGAGACCAAAATAGTTGGTCGTTCAAGAATTAAACTAGTAAAAAATAGTAGCGGATTTCCTGATTCCTTTAGCAAATGTTGGCAACAGAAACTATTTAATGTGACGAGTAATATATAATGAGTAATTAAGTCATAAATCAAATAAACGCTTAATCATAAACATTCAGTGAGTGATAAAATATTACTACAATTATAATAGAGCACTCGTTTACTCAAAATATTAAAACTTTTTTTTAAAGGAATCATTGAGGCAATAATAAAAATTTCGAAACCAGCATTTCTTTAAAGTTATTGTTATACTTACGTTGTAATTAATCTAAATAAATAAATTAAATTTTTCAATTAATACGTTTATTTAATTAAGATTTATAAATCTAATTATTTAATAATTTAGTTAAACGTATATATCATCAATCACTTATAAATAAATTTTTTTTTTAACTTGATGTTAAACTACAACTGTTGGTTATCTTGCAGTTAAATATGACTTATCAACTATACATACAAGACATCATATAGTTCGACAAAGTGTTATCGTATTTCTTGTCTTTTTCTTATAAAAAACTTCAAGTTTTTAAATTATGTTTCAAAATTTTTTTAAATGATTTAATCTTTAAATTTTGCTTAATTTTAATAGTTACACATTGAAACTTTTCTTTACAACTGTTTTTGTACATGTATTAGTTTAAAAAAATGTGTATACATGAACTGCTACTTATTAATTTTTTCCATGATCAAAACATATTTTCCAACGTTGTTTAATCATAATTCTTTGAGAATTTTTTTTTTTTTTAATAAGTGAGAAAACTTGATACAATGGTTGTTGAAACCAATTGGTACACATTATAGTATTAATCTTCTGTAGTGAAATTTCATTAGAAAAATTATTTTGGATACAACATCTCGTTGACTGATTCACCGATCTCTTTCAGCTGTATTATTCAATAACAACATATCATTAAGATTTAAAAGCCAAAGATGTAGGTAAAGTAATAAAAAAACCAAAAATCATCTCTTGTAAACTTTAAAGAAACTGTTTTACATATTGAGTAACTTACTTGCACAAAAGTCCAACCTTCAACATTGTATTGTACTACATTATTATATATTATGAACTAAGCTCACGCATTAATAAATATGTATACAAGTAATGGAAGTACTTAAACAAAGAAATAAAAACTAAAATAATTGCAAGAGTGAGTCTGTAGTATTTGTACATTAGACCATCAATTATTATCCTAACAACATAACAAAAATAATAAAATATAGTACTTTATTTTAAATCACAACTTTTTAATAATGATTGTCGCATTTTTTTTATTTTTTGCGTGGTGAATTGAACTAAGTCCAATAGATTGTTTGGAGAGATTTATGAATAAATAATTGCATTGAATTGCAGAAAAAGTTAATATAGAACGAGTTTAATATATAAGAATTAACATAAATAAAAATATAGGACTTGTGCATTTTTTTGAAAAAATAATTGGACCGGAATTTCCGTTTTGTAGTAAATAAGATTAAAAAACAACACGTCATTTTTAATTGTTCCTTTTGTACTCTACTTTGTTGCACAATTCAAGGCGAAATTTGGAAAAAAATAAAGGTTTTACGCGGAAATGTAATTAATTAATTTACTGAATAACTTCTGAAATAAAAGTTATTAAAAGAAAATTTCAGAAAAATTGGTCATAACAAAAAAATTGCACTTTCTAGAAAAATAAGCGAAGTTTTCAAGAGAATTTTTATGAGATTTTCCATGTCCCAATAACTCTTTTAAGCTCTTACATTGTGTACGTCTATATTTACTCCCCAGGGCATGCTTGGCTAGCTCAGTCGGTAGAGCATGAGACTCTTAATCTCAGGGTCGTGGGTTCGAGCCCCACGTCGGGCGATCTTTGTCTTTTTGTGATATAATTGTGCAGATGTTTATATATTTTATTTTTTAAGTAAACACTAAAAGGGATAACCTTTTTTTTGA